GGGGTTAACCAAAAAGTATTCAGGGCCAGGGAGGGGTGAGGGGGAGTGAAAGGGGTGTAGTGTTGAGTGCGTGACTGACCTCTTTGAGGGGCCCGTAATAGCCGAACGCGTCCTCCAACTCGTGTCGGGTGCCGTTATTACCCAACTCACCCACGTATACCTTGCAGTCCAACGGACACGACTCTCGGCCTCCGTACGAGCGCGACATTGCTATTGTAGGCGATTATTATTTATTATTAACTAATCACTTATTATTACTTAAGTTTAATTGAGTTTATAATATGAGTCAATTATTATATAATGACCTTCTCGTTATAAATATGGTGTTTTTGTTTTGGTCAATAAATATATTTATTGTTCATAATGTACGTCAACTATCTATCGACCCCTTTATTGTCCCCCTTTTGTTATGTGTTATTGTTTATACATAGAGTTATCGATGATTTCCCTGTTTTTGTTAGTCTCCCACCCCATGAAATCTTTGGGCACGTTGTTTATTGATAGTATGTGTGGTTACGTTCAATGCATGACAGACACTGTGTGTGTGTTTTTGAAAACAAAGCGCCTGTGAGTCCGGCTCTCCCCTGTATTTTTACGCTGTGTTTATTTGTGTCGCACATACTGTACCTCTACTATACCCTTGTGTTATGAAAGTTAATACAGTGTGTCTGATATATAGCGCTCTTATCTGACTTACACTATTAATGTTAGTTTATGTTTGATAATTCAGTTTGGTGAATTTGGTTTTTAATTATTAATTTAGTTCATTCGCTTAAATCATGGTAGTTTATTATTTTATTGATAAATTTGATTGTAATTATGTAATATTTATTGGTGCTAGATTTATATAATAGAGACATCTATGTGAATTAGTATAAATTAATTTGTACTTTTTTTTATAATGGTAAATTGGCGGCAATTTTGTTTAAAAAACACGTTACAGTCTTTTCGGATTGTGAATCGGGTTTTGCGGACAATTTATCGCACATTCCAACAACAAAATTGCTTAAAACATTATTGTTCTATCAGCCAATTAAAAAGTTATATTAAATATTATACATGATATAATTATATAATTAATAATGAGAATTAGCAGAGTTTTAAAATTATATAAAATACTAAAATATTGATTGATTTCAAATACAGATAAATTTTAAGCCTACATATCAAACACTTCACTACAAATGAAAGTTTTTATTTTAGATAACTTATGAATGTCTTTAATTATAGTCTATGGAAACTATCAATAGATATACAGTAGTATTAAACATAATAACACGAACGGAATTGTTTTTGTGCAAAATCCATTTGTAATTAGATTAGGCTAGATTATAATTCATTTAGGCACTTCTTAGCATAGTTATTAAAAATCAATTGCCATCATCATGAAATTAACATATTTAATTATACTCACGGTTTGCCTAATCCATGTGCAGTGCAACCAACAACTGGTCTTTGAAGTCGATCGGTTCAAACGTGCGGTTAATAGGACTTATGTGGGTTTTGAAAAAGGTAATTTTAATATTTAATATTGTTGTATCTATGTCATTATATTGATTAATATACAAGTTTTAATTAATTAAACGTAAAATAATTTGTAAAATAAATATTGTTAAAACTGCAAATCAAGTTGAATTTAGTGAATGACCACGAGTTAACTATACTATTTAAATACTTATAGATACTATAAATTATTTTATTTACTTATAATTTAATTTATTTATAAATAATTACTTTATTTAATTACATGATTGTATTTGTTTATTCTGTTTTATATTTAAATTGATCTAGAGAAAAACCTAGAATGGAAAAAGTCTTATCACTTTATACAGGGAGCGGACACACAGTTTGGTATGATTGAGACGTTTTTGCAAAACAAAACCGACGGCCAGTGGGGGGAAGAGATAGCACTTACCCAACAGGCCATCACTGAGTGGAATGCTATGCAACCAAAGCCCAAGTTTGTGGTCATTTGCGGTGATTTGGTGGACGACTTGCCGGGACGAGAGCCCCGACGGGCCAAACAGATCGCAGACTTTAAACAAGTGTTTCAAGCGTTGGATAAAGATATACCGCTTGTATTGTTGGGTATGTGTCCTCTTCCCATCTTATATGCAATTCTCTCTCTCTCTCTCTCTCTCTCTCTCTCTTTCAATTATACGAAAATTTTATTATAAGTAAAGTTTCTACAAGAATAATATCATTTTAATTTAGACGTTCAAAATATATGATTATAATTG